AATCTGTCGCAAATTCCAAAAATAAATAACATAAATTTAAAAATAAATAAAATTAATATTTATGACAGAAATTTCTGTCGCAAATCCGCAATTTTAAAATTTCTGTCGCAAATAATATTTGGTTCTGCGACGACAATGTTTCCGTCGTATTCCGTCGCAAATTTGCGACGGATTTTGCGACTAATTGCAACGGAATAAAAATTTTCGTATGCCGTCGCAAATTCGTCGAATTTTGTCGTAATTTCTTTGCGACGGAAAAATTCCGTCGTAAATTCCGTCGTTATATTAAGATTTTCTTGTAGTGCGACCCGACTCGAAAAATTTTAGGCTCGAATTGAATCCGTCTGTGATTCGTCTGTGATTCGTCAATTATCACCCCTATAATATTGTATAAGTTGACGTATTTTTAAATGTAAACTAAAAGCTTATTAAGTTAGATATTTAATATTTTTAAATTTATAAATTTTTATTACGAATTAAAAAAAAAATAGTTTTTGAATAATTTAGATAATTTATAATTTTTAAGGGAACATTGACAAAATAAATGTGAACTTTTTAAATTTGGTAAATAAAAATATGAATTTCCAAATAAATAAAAGATACAAACTTTACAATTTTTTATAAATCAAAACAAATCCTAATATCATTATAAATTTAACATAAATATAGTTCTCACATGGAGGTCATAAATAATTTCAAACTTATTTAATAAAAAAATGTTTTAAATTTTAAAATTAATTAAATGTATTTTTAAAAATATATAATAAAAATGAAAATTTATAATATATATGCATATATACAATATATATATATACATATATATATGTATATATATTTTAATTTTTATCTTTTTATCTTTTATTTTTAATATATTTATACTTAATTTTTTAATTATTTGTGATTTTCACGTGACAATTTTAACATACTTGACAATGACGTGAATATAATTTATTTCAAATTTCTATAGGCGTGAGGGTTTGTAAAAAAATGTAGAGTTTGTATACTTTTTACAAAATTGAAAATTCATATATTTATTTACCAAAATTAAAAAGTTTAGATAATTAAACATATTTTTTTATTAAAACTTATAGTTTATATTTTTATAATAAATTTAAAATGAAAGATTGATTTTGGAATGATATATAAGGTTGATGGTTTTTTTTCTAAAAATGTTATAATTGATAAATTTATATTATATTTAAAATTATAATTTTTTGTGTAAGTAAAATAGTTTATGGTTTTTTGTTTTTATCCGGAAAAAAACATCAACTGGAGAACATGTGTATGTATATTGTGTTGAATTCTTTATTGTGTATAACGGAACAACAGTGATTAATCAATCACGTATTGTCTTAAGAACATGAACTGACACTGTGAATTAAAAACTAAGAAAATATTATAGAAAATCAAATGCTTATAGCTAAAATATACATGGAAAAAAAAAACACTTCAATCTAATTCCCGTCTTAGGTCAGAAACTGATCTTCAAATCCTTCGTCCTCAAAGGCCATAATATGCCCCCGATCATTCCGGACCGTCAGATTAACGGAGCCATGATTCTCCGTCGTCAGATTCCTCCACGTTGGTCTGTACTCCGACATATTGGCAACGGTCGAATTCACACCCACCGGAGCATTCTCCACCGTCCGGTCACCCATCTGCCGGATTCTCGCCGCCACGTTCTCTCTCAACTCACCCATCGCCGCCACATACTCCTCAAGCTCCGCCTCAGGTATGCTCTCCACAGGGCGGCACCACCATGGCTCCTCCGTCGACACTTCAGCATCTCCGGAGCCGGAATATTCCCCGATCTTAACCGGATCACCGTTGAGATATTTATCGAGCAAGGCGTCGACGTCGGAGCTACCGAACGTGTAGATTCTGCCGCAGCGGGAGAAAGTGAGGATAGCGATCTGGGCGCCGCAGAGGACGTTGAGCTCGGCGGCTTTCTTGAAGAGGCCACGACGCCGTTTTGAGAAAGTGACTTGTCTCTTGCTCTCCTGTTTGATCTCCTTTATCTCTATCTTCTGCCTTCCTCGTGTCGTTTTAGGGTTTGGCCGTTGCTCGTTCAACGTCAAGTTAGGGTTTTGAGTCTGTGCCTCTTCCATTCTGAAAAAAGTTACGTGGAGATATTGTTAGCGTAACGAGTTTCGGATATTTATAGGGTTTATTATTTATTTTTTCGGACACTGTGATTTTATGGAAGAATGACTATTTGATAATTAACTTAATTATGGGAATTCCATGTAGTAAAAAGTAAATACCATGATATTGAGTATATACTTACGTCCCGGTTTTTTTTATGGAAATTATGAGAATATTACAATATCAAAGCCTGCTTTCTTTCTTTCCATGTTTCGGGACGTCCAATTGCCATTAAAGCCCTGAATTTATGAATTACAAAATTTTCGTTTCGTATATTTATTTATTTGGGTTACTTTGATACATATTCGTTTACAGTGTAGATTTTATGTATATTTTTGGCGTGCATGATTTCCCTCGCGTGGACGCGTACTCATTTTTCTTGTTCAGAAATTAACAAACAGACGTGAACTATATTCCCCAACACCGTATTTTCGCAAGTTTACTTTAAGATAACCTAAAAACACGGCGAAATATTTACCGAAACACAAAAATTATTAGATGATGGAAAAGAAAATTGTGTGAGGATGGATGAATTATAAGCTCCTTGGGTCAATAATATAAGTTTTTTTGTAAAAGAAAAAAAGGAAAAAGGGAACGAATGCCATCAATGTATACGAATATGTGGCCTCGTAAACATTAGATCCATGTATTATATGCACTATATTATATTTGAATCTTATGGCCGCTTGTATATTGATAGTCTCTAAAAAATCACTACAAAATATGGACTATATTATGTTTGAATCTTGATAATAATTGGTGAATATTCTAAGTTTATTTTAAAATTTTATATTTCTTATTCTTCTCCTAGATATTCTAGAGCTTTCACTAGTGGGTCGGGACCTAGGTTTGGGTGCTTGATATACGTGGGCCTACAGTAGGCCTTCGTCGGTCCATCTCTTCGTTTGGTTCATTCTTCTGTGCGGATAAATAAGAGCTCGACCTCATATTCACCTGCCCAGAGCCTACTCACAAATACAAATAAAAAGGAAAATGCATAAATTAAGTGTTTTAAAGGAACAAAACATCAGACAAAACATTTTAGCTATGACAAATTGTTTTTTTTTTGTGAACATTTGGGAACCCGCCCTTGGTCCTTCTGACCGAACCCCGCAATGCCTCACAACCCAAAGGTCAGACGAACGACACAATATCGCGGATAGTAAACCCACACAATAGCCGATAAACCACGTGGAGGAGCCAAAGCTGACCAAACTCAGACAACCTGAGGTTTCGAACTCGAAAGGCGCAATGCGATGTTTCTAAAAAATTGAACGACATATTTAATTGAAACATCACATTTTTGCAGAATCTATTTTCCGAAGATGGGAATAGATAAGTTTTTTTACAAGTAGTGGGAACATTTTGTTCAAAAAGAAGAGGGGACAAAGAAAGATTCTGAAAATGAAGATAAAACCGAACAAATCTGGAATCTTCCCACTGTCTTATCTGTAACAGCTTCAGGAAGAGAAAACAACTGCAGAAACATACAAGACACCACCACCATTTGGAATTTATTCAGGTTGGCAATTTCCATAGTGGGAATATTTACTCAAAGAACCAATAGCATATCCAAATAGAAAAATTATCAAGCTCCCACTGTAAATACATAAGCTCGTTCTACTTCAAACCATAACACCAAAAAAAAATGTCCATTTATGAAAATCTCTATGAGGCTCTTGGCATCAACAACCCCCCGAAGCAGAACCAGCGCCGTGGGATCTATGAGGACCTCTACAAGGTTCTTAGCAGGCGTGACGACGAGGCACACAAGGCTCACGGCCAGGGTTCGTCAATAGCGAACCACAACAGCCACGAGGCCCACAAGTCTCACAGCCAGGGCTCATCCATAGGGAACCATAACAGCGACGAGGCCCACAAGCCTCACGCCCTAGGGACGTTCCCCGGGCGTAACAGCAGCCGTGATGCACACAAGGCTCATCGCCTCGGGAACCAGAACAGTTATGGGTCAAGCAAGCCTAACTACCATGCGAATGATGAGAAGCAGCTCAGTAGTAGAATTGTGGAGTACAAGACGGTGATCCAGTACGACAGCAGTAGTGAAAGTGAAAGTGACAGTGACAGTGACAACGGCAGCAGCAACAGTGAATTTCCACGGAAAATTGAATGGACAACCACTTATTCTATGTACTAAGTAACCTCTTCCTTTTCCACGCTTTGCAGAGCTAAAAAGGATGAGGAAGAAATCAAACCCATGCGATGCTTTAAGGCGACCGTGTGTATTTATTGCATAATAACTATACTACTAAATAAAAGCCACCTCAGGTGGTCTATTGTCCTCTGTAACCTCGCTACTGCGAATCTATCGTGTCAATATACTATCTATCACAGCTTTATGGATGGCAAGCACAGTAGAATGTTTATTTCAACCTGCAAGACCATTCAGAAAAGCCAACCAAACAAGATTCGACAAGAATACGTCAAAGAAACAAAACAACATGCAGCTATTAGCTAAATACAGAAACCATTACCCTTAGTATTATGTCCCTAATCTGGTGAAAGATGTCGCCTCACCTTCCAGAGAAAGTCGACCAGATTTTCAGACTTTGGAGGACCCTTTACTTTTAGCTTATCCTTCAATTTGCAGAAAATCAAAAGAAACTAAAAGGTCAAACAATCTCCTAACAACAAGTTCAGTCCAAAGTCATACGAAGAAAAAAAATCTCTAAACACGAGCAAGCCGAGAGAACGCACTTGGTCATCCAGTCGGAAGAAGAGGGAACACCGGCACCATGAGCGAAGACGACCGCCGGCGATTATTTCTCCGGAGAAGATGACTTGTCGGAATCATCTGAACCAATTTTGTCTGTTCTTAGAAGGACGTGAAGAATTAATCCATCAGCGAGGTTTTTGAAGCCTCCTTGGAAATGAAGAGATGGAAGTTTTGGAAACCCTAGGAAAGGGGGGAAACGAATTGATTTTGGCGCCACAAATTTCCAGAGACATCGTTCTTTGGGTTTTCATGGGCTCTTATACTTTTTAGATGCAGAACGTGTATCGTACAAATCAAACGGAGATATTCCAGCCGAAAAAAACAATTATTCTACTGCCAAAAAAGTTTAAAATAAAAAAGATTAAAATAAAAAATAGATCTATTCAGAAACTTTTCCTTTAAATAAAAAAAATTAAAAAAAATAGATTTTTAAATACGCGGCAGATATCTAGCACGAGGTTTTAATGCATGCGCATATGTTTCCTATGTTGGAAATATTTGAATCAATAATTATCCTGAAAATACTTTTAAAATAGATCTATACAGAAAAAATAAAAATAAAAAACATAGATTTTTTAATACACGGCAGATATCTAGTACGAGGTTTTAATGCGTGCGCATATATTTCCTATATTGGAAATATTTTGAATCAATAATTTTCCTGGAAATAAATACTGTGCATATAATAAAGTAATAATTAGGTCGAAAACAAAATATCTAGGCCCTCATACCATTAAGAGCCAATGAAAAACTGCCACATGGTTGGTTTACGCACCACTTTAGCGGCGTCATTCGAGGTCAATTAATGACCATTACAACCTTTTATAAACCGGCTAAAAACACCAAATCCCTGATATGTTCTCTTCTAATCTTTTTCCGCAATACAATGGCCAAACTCCCCATCACCGTCTTTCTCTTTGTATTGGCTTTCCCCGTCGCCTTTAGCAGGCCGGAAAATGATGTCATCGTCGCCGACCAAGTCGCTGCGGCGGAACCCGATCCACCCCGTTCGGACCCCGGATCCGGTTCGTTGGCCTCCGACGAGACCAACGTGCCGGTGAATTTCATCAATTTCCATCCGATCAACCGTCACTTTCCCCGGCGTCCTTTGATGGCGACCAAACGTTTGAACCGTTGGCGTCACAAGCAGGACCCAGGCTTCGAGATCCGTTACGGCCGGGACATGGTCATGCCCGGCGGCAGAGACGCCGATCGGTGGCCACTCGGCGTGGTCCGACAGATTCCGGCGACACACGACAGCTACGACGAAGATCGAGTCAAAGATGTCGAAAAGGACCAAATAGATATGCTTTACGGACAAGGCACTGTGACGAGCGTGGAGACTGGAGATTTTCCCGAGAAAATTTGGGAGGAGGAGAAGGTGGACGAGAACAACATGAAAATGGACGACTGCGGGGAGGTTCTGATGGCACGGAGCCGAATCTATCCGGAGGAGAAGGTCAGGATAAAGAAGATCAAGATGATGAAGCTTCGTCACAATGGCAAGAAGTATGATGACAAAGAGTACAAGGGTCTGTTCATGAACAAGGTTCGCAAGTTTCTGACAGATCTTGTCTGAATGAATATATAAACTTGAGTTTGTTCTTAGTATTTAAGATAGCGTCTCTCTTGTGAGGATGTATGTAAATAAGCTTTGCATCTAGAAAGCATTCTTATGCTACGTGTGTTACGAATGTATGCCACCGTGTAAATAGCATAAACAAATTTTAAATTATGATGATTATTATATCAATCGGTATGGAGTATATTCCGAATTCCATCACAATGGTATTCAATATGAAATCAATTTCCGGAAGCCATGTGGATTTGTGAAGAAAGATTACATCAAATTCAGATAAATGTAACTTACGCACCTCAGTCTGCGAAGACGAGGCCATTATATCTGGTCTCCGCAGGAACCGCCTTGAGTCGTAGCCACGAGCTCGGCACACGGCAAAGGGCTGACCTTGACGGCAGCTCCCGTGACATCAGAGCATTTCCACGGCGGAGAAGCCTTCGGATCTGTGAGTGTAACATTAGAAAGGCACACATTAGTGAATGGGGAATCTCTCAAGCCTTGAACCAAACCGGCGTGCTGAACCTTAACGCCCTTGACGTTCTTGATCATGATGTCTCTCACGATGGGAAGAGCTTTCGGGTTAAACTTATCATCCGGGTGGTCTCCAGTGGCGCCAGAGATCCTAATCCCAGTCCTGACGTTTTCCATGTAAAGGCCGGAGATTCTGATGTTCTGAACAGTTCCGCCTCTGCCAATGTTTGTCTTGATATGGACACCGAACCCGGAGTTGTAGAGAGTGATGTCTTCGGCCGTGACATTATGGATACTGCCAGAACTCTCGCTTCCGATGGCTATTCCGGCATATGGAGAAGATCCAGTGATGCGGCGGATGGTTATGTCATGGCTTGGACGGTTGTATGCAATTCCGTATTCATCCCAACCG